TCAGCAGGTTCACTGCTTCAATCGAGGGGTAAAACTGGTTCCAGAAAAGTCTCATCTCTTAACTGTAGTGTTTTTTTCTAGGAACCATCTTTTAGCAAGACTATCAAACTGGTATGTATCCAGAGGAGAATAATCAGATGTTGAGGGATTTCTGAGCTTGAAATTTTACAAAATAAAAAATACAATAAAATAAACTGCAGGTTATTCCCACTTACCTTGATGCTGACTCTCTATTTGAGTAGACCTAGTGACATAATTGATATAAAATTCAGCTGCTTTGTTCAAGTACTTATACAACAAATTGGCGGGCAACCGAACATCATGGTTGTTAATTATTAGAGGAAGGACATCACACACTGTTGAAGAGGGAAAATGAGGAAAAACCAATTAAGCTGTTTGTCTACTCTAGGGTTCTGGAAAAAACAAAATTTATTTTAGAGTTCACTTAATGTAATACCTAAAATAGATTGGCAAAAAAGAAACCCCTTATGGCACATTTATTTAAAAATTGCAGTGCAGAGGGACACCAGTGGATGGAGTCAGCAAGGAAACACACAGGCAGATTCCACATTATGAGTGATGTTTGGGTGGAAATTCAGGTGTTTATTAGTATGCTTCATACTCAAATACATGGTTACACATATTCTTTCAGAGGTATCAACTATTACATAATAAAAATTTAGGAGTTGTTTAAAATGCTTTCTGAACTGAAAAAATAAACACGGATTTAAATCCCATAAAACGAAGAGTTCCTCTGCTTTCCACAAATGACCTTATTTCTGAAATGACACTTACCCCCAGCATATTCTACTTAGCATAAGGAATGATACAAAATGTAATTTTTCTTACCAAACAATTTTCTAAAGCAGTTAACAGGAGATTCTTGCTCTTCAATAGTTTCAGCCTCCAATAGTGCCTCCCCAAGGCCAACCTGTTTCAAAATACAATTAATCATTTGTGTTGTTTCAGATGTCAGAATTACATGAATAAACACCATATTTGTTTTACCACATAGTTTGTATATTCAAACTTACCCAAGAAACAAATATTATCATTTTAAAGACTAGAAAACAAAAGAATGCATCAGCGACACCACCCAGAAGGGAACCCCACATTCACCTGACCACAGACCACTCTGTCTTGGTTATTCTCCCCTGAACTAGTACAATTAAAATGTCTAAGAAACTTAATGGAAGCACTGGAGCTAGTTTGATAATACAGATGTAGAGACTTCTCTAAGAAATGTAGAAACTAACTTTATTCTCTACATCAAGATGTATTACGTAGACAAAACTTAACATTTTCAAGAGTTGCCGGGAGTAGTCAGTCATACAGCCTGGACTAGGTCGGACACAACTGTTTGAGAAGGCCACTTTCCCATTACTGATGCCCTAGCCTAGTAGAAAGCTGGCTTCTCCAAATCCACCAACACCTGCATCATCTTCCTTGCAACCACCTGGGGATGCATGGGGTGGGGGGAGAGGGGAACCATGTAAACAATTACATGAGACAGAAAGTTAAAAGAGTAATGATCAGGGAGGACACCAGGTTGAACAGCATCCCCCCAAAATTCACGTCCACTCAGAACCTCAGAATGTGACCTCATATATTTTTTATCTTATAAAAAAGGTCTTCGTGGGACTTCCTTGGTGGTGCAGTGGTTAAGAATCCGCCTGCCAATTCAGGGGACATGGGTTCGAGCCCTGGGCCGGGAAGATCCCACATGCCACTGAGCAACTAAGCCCGTGTGCCACAACTACTGAGCCTGTGCTCTAGAGCCTGCGAGCCACAACTACAGAGCCCGCATGCTACAACTACTGAAGCCCGCATGCCTAGAGCCTGTGCTCCGTGGCAAGAGAAGCCGCAGTGAGAAGCCTGCGCACCGCAACGACGGGTAGCCCCCACTCGCCACAACTAGAGAAAGTCCATGTGTGGCAACAAAGACCCAATGCAGCCAAAAAAAAAAGGTCTTCATAGAAGTCATACTGGATCAGGGTGGGTCCTAAATCCAATGATTGGTATCTTTATAAGTAGGTCATGTAAAGACACAGGGACACAGACCACAAAGAAGGCCACGTGACAACAGAGGCAGAAACTGAGAGATGAAGCTGCAAGCCAAAGAATGACAAGGATCGCTGATGCCCCAGAAGCCAGGATGACGTGAGCAGGAGTCCTCCCCAGAGCCTTCACGGGGAGCACGACCCTGCCCATACCTTGCTTTTGGGCTTCAAGCTTCCAGAATTGTGAGAGAATAAACTTTTGTTTTAAGGCACCCAGTTTCTGGTATTTTGTTACGGCAGTCCTTGAAACTAATATACGGACGTACAGAGAAGGTTAACTGGGGCCAGCAGCCAGAAAAGTGGAGCCAGAAAGAATAAGCCAAAGAGGTTGAATTAAGAAAGTTAAAGATTTGAATCCCCCGTCTCCGTTACCGGCTACGGGAAGTGACTAACACATATGTAAAGTAGGATGCTATCTACCTCAACAGATCTAAGGAGTATAGAAGGACCTACTGAACACCGACCAGTGCCTGCCAGTAGCACTCATTAATAATTAGAGATATGAGGAAAGGGCAGAGTAGAGGGAAAACAGTGACCATATGGCAAAAGCATGTGAAAAACGTTAAGAATACAAACTATGGCTCTCCTTTCAATTCAAACACATTGTTCAATACAATGAAACAGATTATTTTTTAAAACTTCACTGTACTTCACAAATTGAAGGTAAGTTGCACTGTCAAGGCTTGGTGACTGTCTCCTCATGCTGGTAACACAACACTACTGGATATTCACAGAGTTTGGTAACAGTGACATCCTTCTAGCTTTACTGACAAAGATTCCTTGATTTGAATTCAATCTTATCGGGTGCTCCTCAGAATTAGAATAATCTACTTTAGAATAATACACACTGTAGCTCTTAAACATACTCATGAGTCCACTGATCAATTTTATTCTCTTTTATGAAAAAGGAAAGGATCAAATCTTACCCCATGCTGTACCACCGTTTCAGGGAATCGTCTCAAAAGTAGAAGCAACATTTCTGATCGTTCCAAAGTGTTGAAGCATTGTTCCGTAACCTTTAGTAACATTTCACACTGGACCCGACCAGGAAGAGTTTCAAATAAACCTGTATATAACACATTTCACTTTTAAAAGTTTCTTTCAGAAAGAAAATACGGAAGCAAAAGTGGAAATAAGGCATCATCATGTACAGAATGGTATATACTAAGTGAAGAATCACTATTGTTGGAGTTCACCTACAACCTGGAAGGCTTTGGGGTCAGATATTATTGGGCGTAAGATATTTGCTGAATGACGATAAAATCTTTGGAGGCCTTACTGGATCTAGAAGAGAAGAATGATGTCTGGGAATGGTCACAGCAGTGCTTGCTGCTGACTGAGATAAAAAGCACTCACTTAAGTTGAAATGACCTAAACAATCTACTTTCTTTTTTTTCCAAAATCTGAAATACTGGATTGGCTATAGCAACCAACACAGAGTGAAGGTTAATGAGAAAGGTCATAAATTACTAAAAGTTTCTCTCCTGTTCTGTGGAGATCTGTCTAATCTACAGATGTTTTATGATTACTGTAGAACTTGTTAAAATATATTCAGTTTCCTGAGCTAACTGATAAATCCACATCTTTTAAGGAAGTTTAAAGGGTTCTAAGCATATGCTCAAGGGATCAAGTGACATCATTTGTACAGGCTTCAGTTGCCAAGAACAAAACATGCATATGGGTCCCAATACCACAGATGTGACTTTTTTGTGAAATTACTACTAGTACTTCTGGTATTCCAGAGTAGTAATTTTTTAAAAAGAATTATATGTTTTTTATTATAATATAATTCTACTTTGAAACATTTTGGTATATCTACAACTGTATTATATGAGATAGCATCATCATTATGTTCTAATAACAGTAAAAAGAATGATCACTTTCTAGATATTTCTGTTTGAAGAAAATTATTATTTTTAAAATTAACAGCTCAATAAAACTGCATTTTATTGGGTTCACAGTTGTGAGTCACTTTTACTATGGTGAAATAATTGCTAGTATTTTTACCCAAGTAGGCAACACTTCCAAAATACAATTACTTTTAATCTCATACAGACATTTTATAAAAATTAGATGAATTATCTTCTTTTACATTTTTGCTTCTAATTTTATAAATAATGTATGTTGCTAGAATATGTAGCATAAAACACATTATTATATCTTATCTCTGATTTCTTAATGATAGCTTTAATACCTTAGCTATTTATCGATGTTGGTAATTTTATTTTTTACATCTTTATTGGAGTATAACTGCTTTACAATGTTGTGTTAGTTACTGCTGTACAACAAAATGAATCAGCTATACGTATACATATATCCCCATATCCCCTCCCTCTTGCTTCTCCCTCCCACCCTCCCTATCCCACCCCTCTAGGTGGTCACAAAGCTGATCTCCCTGTGCTGTGTAGCAGCTTCCCACTAGCTATTTTACATTTGGTAGTGCATATATGTCAGTGCTACTCTCTCACTTTGTTCATATTCCCCTTTCCCCCTGTGTCCTCAAGTCTGTTCTCTACGCCTGTGTCTTTATTCCTGTCCTGCCACTAGGTTCATCAAAACCATTTTTTTAGATTTCATATACATGCATTAACATACGGTATTTGCATTTCTCTTTCTGACTTACAGAAGTAGTAATTTATATACCAGTAAGTTATCACTTTATTCTTACTTCTTAAAAATTGGGTTTGTTTATCCTGTGAATCGTTTCTTAATGCTGATGTAATAATGCTGATTTCTCTCCACACCACGGGCTGATCTGGGAAATTCACAAACCTATTTTTAAAATGAATGCATTAAATTAAAATGTCAGATTCTAAATAGTACCCAAAAAAGAAAGCAAAACAATAGCATCAGAGAAAAACACATTTTACTATATTCCAAGTGAATACATAGATGTACCAAAACAAACTGAAATAAAGATACAAAAATAAAAACTAAGAAAAATGAGAGTATTCACAAAAGTCTTTAGTTTTTTTAATAAGTGAAAAGACAAGTGACCATAATATGCAAAACACTACTAAACGGTAAACAAGAAAAAAAAAAAACTTTGCAAAGAAAAAAAAAACTCTGCAAAGAAAAAAATGGGCAAAGGTAAATCACAGAAAAAATACAAACAGCCAAATAATTGAAAAGATAGTCTTATTAGTAATACAACAAACACAAATCTTTAAAAAGTAGCAAGATATTGCCTTCTTCTACGGCACCAGCAAAAATTGACAGCTGAGGGAAAGACGGATAATATCCAATGCTGGCGAAGGTGTGGGAAAACAGGCACTCACACACGGTCAGTGGAGATGTAAACTGAACAGTACTTTTTGGAGAGTAATCTGACAGTGCATCGAAATTTAAAATGCGCATACCCTTCAACTAGGAAAACCTACGTCTAAGAATCTACTCTACAGAAAAACACCCAAATGTGAGTACAAAACTGCTTTCTGACACTCTGAATATAATTTCAAACAACTGGAAACTACCTAAATGTCCGCCGACAAAAGAGGGCTGAAACGCTATGCAGACAGGAGAAAGAACCAAGTAGATCCCTACATGGTGGCCTGGAAAGAGCCCCATCACAGTGGGTGAGCAGTAGGCGCTCACGGCTGCAACTCCTCCCCCAGAACCTACTGATGCGTCCTGGGCGTACATGCACACAGACACACACACTCCTGAATTCGGGCCGAGGTTAGGAGGGACTTCCACTGATTATTCTTTACACTTCAGTACCGTCGCAACTTCTGCGAGGAGCCTGTATTACGTTATTCCCAAAGTAAAATAAATGATTGAATGGAAGAGCTGTAACAAGAATAAAACCTAAGAAGACTTCCCCGCAGTTAATGGAAGGCCTAGACCCACGACCAAGTTAAGCTTTAGATGCCGGACACGCAGATGAACTTGAGGACCTTCCCCCAACTCCCTCTGCCACAGACAGAACGGAAACCTCCCGAGAGGTGCGGGGCGGCGTCCCCACTCACATGTCGTAGAGCAGCCTCCCGGCGGTGGCCGTCCGCTCCGCGTTCCGCTCGATGGTGTACATCTCATACTGCAACACGGGCCGGGGCCACGTCAGGCCCTCCGCCCGGCCGGCCCGGCTCACCCCACCGCCCCGAAGGTCCCAGGGTCGGGCATCAAGTGCTGACGGAGCCTCAGGGCTCGCGCCGCGCGGCACCGGGGACCCGGCTTAGCGCAGGCACGTCTCCGGCGGCCAGCGGGGCTTCTGACTATCCCGGACGGCAACGCGGTGCAGGTCTATGCCGTTCGCGTCACTCGGATGCCTTTATCTACCGCGGGGCCCGCAAATGCGCGGTATTGGTCCCCTCACAGAGCCGCAGCCCGGAGCTGGCGCCTGTGTTCACTACACTGCACCCCAGCTCCCTCCCACGGGGGCCTAGAACACCCCCACTCCGCCCCTGCCTCCGCCACTACCCGCGCCCGCGCGGCTGCCGTCCGGACCCACGAGCCGGCGGGCGGCCTTTCCAGGCGGCGCGAGGCGCTGTCCCGGCCGCCAAGGGGGTAACGCTCCCGTCGCCCCGACCCGGAGCGGGGCCCGGGGTCCCCTGGGCCGGGCTCGCTGGGGGCTCAGGGAAGCGGGGAGGAGCGCCCCACCTGCGCCCCCGCCCGGCCTCACCTGGATGTTGAAGTCTGCGGGGTAGAGGCTGCGGGCCGTGATCAGCCAAGCCTTGGCGGCCCACAGGTCCTGCTGCACCAGCTCGCGGGCTCGCTGCACCAGGAACTCGCAGTCGCCCTGGGCCGACATGATGCGGGAGGCCTCGGGCGGCCTGAGGCTGCCGGACCTTCCGGCTGGGGGACACCGCGGACCTCGCCGCCGCGGATCGTGCTGCCGCCGCCGCCACCGCGGAGGCTACTGCGCAAGTCCGGGGTCGCGCCGCCGCCGCAGGGTGGATCCAGGAGGGCTTCCGGGCTTTGCGAGCAGCCTCTTCCCGGCCACTCTGCGCCTCTGCCCGGCGGCTTCCTCCTCTGGGGGCCTAGTGCGTTCGTCACGGCTCTTCCAGGTCGCCTCCAAGACACGGAGGAGCGGATTCTCACCCTGCTCGGGAGCGACCCCGGTGCAGCCAGGGAGCATGCGCAGAGCCCGGTCCTGGCGGCGCCGGGGAGCCGGGTGGTCAGTCTTGGCTGGGCGGCCGGGGGCCGGGCGGGGAAGACGCTGGAGGGGGGAGCGCCGAGGGGCGGCGCGGAGGCGGCGGGAAGAGCCCCTCGGGACCTCCGGATCGGTTGTACAGAAAGGCTCGCGCTGGTTTCGGTCAGGCGGTAAAGCCAGCGTTTGGACCGGTCCTTTGGGTCCTCAGTACGGTCATGTCTCATGGTCGTTGCTTCTTTATTCCCTGGTTTCTCCGAAAAGCATTTATTGAGCCAATTGCAGTCTTAGTACTTTGTAGGTGCTTGGCTGCATGCCGGGAGCTACCGAGCCGTTTATCCTGTTCCAACCCGAGTTTACAGTGTTAGGGACCTGTGACCTACAGAAAATAGCTGTTTTAATTCTCTTTCAACCAGAATCAGTGTCATTTTCACCAAATGAAAACAAAACAGTCTACCTGATCTCGTGAAGGGAGGCCACACTTAGGAACCGGAGGAAGCAGCATTTATTTGCCTAATAGGAGGCATGTGCCAAAATGTGTGTTCCCAGCAGTTCGATGGAGCCGAAAAAATAATAAAATAAAAACAATCGTAAAGTTAGTGGTGAATTAGTGTGTTAGTTTTAGAGGAAAGTACCAAGAAGATCAGGCTTTAAGGAACACCATGTAAAGCGCCAACGCTACCAAATCCATCAATGTCCAGGCTCTTTTGCTATTTCACTCATAATACCAGTCTAAAAATTATAACTTTAGTATCTCCCCCCTTATTTTAAAACCTTGATTTTAAAAACTCGATTTTGTTTCATTAGTATCCTCAATGATATCTTTAGGTAAGAGTCATTGCTTTACCCTCAGTCACTCTGATACATTAAATGTATTAGCGCTTTGGGAAGCATTATGGTTCCTAACGCTATTTAATGTCCTCTGATTATGCACAGGAACAGCATGATTATGCAATCACCTTGTAGGCTGGGATGGATTGCTCAGTGATAGAATTCTTTCAGCTTTGTAGAAAGGAAGGTAGAAAATTGAATTAAAACAGATCAGGGGACTTCCCTGTGGTCCAGTAGTTAGGACTCCGCGCTTTCATTGCCACGGCCCCCTGTTAAATCCCTGATCGGAGAAATAAGATCCTGCAAGTGCGGCCAAAAAAAAAAGAAAAAGGATATACACACACACACACACACACACACACACACACACACACACACACATATATATATATATATATATATATACATAAATATAAAAATCAGGATTTTTATCTTACAAAGTGTAGATCAAAAAAAACTGCTAGCTTAAATATTTTTTCATTATTTCATTGATTTTAATGTATAAATTGTATAATGTGTAAATTGGCAAAAATGACTGATTAGACTTTAATCTTTAAACTTTATGTTTTGGTTATGGGATTACAAAACAGAAACCAAAACAAAACTGTACCTGTTCCTGAGTCTTTAGTTCTTTAGTGTTGTATTAGGTAACAACCAAAAATTGAAAATTTTAAAGCTAGGGCTAAATAAGGGAGCTCTGGTTATAATTTAGATGCCAATCAATTGAGTTTTTGCCAGAATACAAGATAAGACTTGTGGATATTTTCTAGCCAACCTCTTAATTTTGAAAGATCTCCAGATAAATATTTGTCCTAGGGTATCATGCTGGCATCTCAAAGTACAGAAGAGAGGTACTGCACCATGTGGGTTTTTACGTCTTTTGGGCCTCCTTGTCCTGATCTCGAAGCCTCATTGAGCATCTGGGCACCTGGCTCTCGTTCTCCCTGACAACTTCTAAGTCACATAAGATGCCCAGCATCCAGCATCCAGCCTCAAGCTCCCGGACCTCAGTTCAGTGATTCGTATTAAACTCTATATTGCTTTTTACCTTCCACTTCAAAATCTCAAAACTCATAAACACAATCTCTTTTTTTTTTAATTTTATTTTCTTTATTTTTTTTATACAGCATGATACACTATTATTAACTAAAGTCCATAGTTCACATTAGGGTTCACTCTTGTTGTACATTCTATAGGGTTTTTTTAATTTAATTGGGGTATAGTTGCTTTATAATGTTGTGTTAGTTTCTGCTGTACAACAAAGCGAATCAGCTATATGTATACATATATCCCCTCCCTCCTGGACCTACCCCCCCAGTCCCTCCCATTTAGGTCACCAAAGAGCACTGAGCTGAGCATAGCCATCATTTACAGTATCATATAGAATAGTTTCACCACCCTAAAAATCCCCTGGCAACCACTGATCTTTTTACTGTCTCTGTAGATAAACACAATCTCTTAACTTTCCTGCCCTCAACTCTCTCCTTGGTTCTTTTCAGCAATTTCCTCCTTTCTTCCTCCCTGATGTTAGCTTAACAGTTCTACCTTTTCCTCCTAGTTTATCTGCCTCCTCATGCTATAGCCTTGCTTGGACACTCGGCATGCTCAGCGTCTTTGCTTCTTATCCCACCTGTATCCACTCTTCAGATGAACAGCCCTGGATCCACCCTGTGGTGCATCTTGCTGGATGTTGCGACTGGCTTGAAATAGGGGCAATAACTGTATAGTCAATGAGCATTGAGGAGGCTGAGTCCTGCTGGAGAATAGCACACGCATGTGCAGATTGATGCTGTAAGAGATTCCTGGTCTTAGTATCAGTCTGGGCTCTCAACGACTCCACCTCCCACTCTTTCAGTTAGGACTCTGGATCTATGAACTGATGGGAATTGGGTACTTTCTGTATAGTCATTCAACTCAGATTTCTGCATACCTGGCTTAGACTTTCTCTGATTTTGCAGATCAAGCCGTACTTTGGTGGAGGCTGTCCATCTGTTTTATTCCTGGGAACTTTATGATCAATTAGCCACTGCCACAGACCTTGAGAGCCAAAATGCTCTGATGGCCACTCTGTCCCTGTGTTTTATTATGCTAATTGTGCCTACTTTGTCCTTGATGGTCAAGTGCTGCCACCACACTGCTACCACACAGGGATCCCATTATTCCCATTGAAATTAGGGCGCCCAATTCTACTGCAGTTGTCTCCCACCAGCATCTCTGGTGTACAGGGGACAGTTGGCACTAGGACTTTTATGGATTCTGGTGCTCCCTTCACTAAAGCATTTCTGGGCCTCCTGGGTTGTACAGTAGGGGTTAGCTGAGCAGGCTGCACGTAATGAATTAACTCCAACATTCCCATCTCAGTGAGCCAGTATAGTCCTTCCTCTAACATATGCTGGGAAAATTCCAGCCTCTCAATCTAGACCATCTATGAACCAGTCTTCACAAGCATACCCTTAGAGCCATTTGGCACCTAACAGCTGTTCAACTATCTATAATAGCTGCAGATCCCAAAAGAGGGATCTGCAACTATTATAACAGATCCAACAGAATTCAAAATGGCTGTGATGGATAGGGATGCTGTATGCAGCCCCTGACAAGGCCTAATGGAGCAAAACATGCCCATTTGACAAGCAGTTCCTAGACTGTTACTGGACGTGTTGAACCTAGAATTCTTGGTAAGTGAACCCATATTGATAAATTTGGTCCTATCTCATTGTATGATTTATCCTATTTGGTCAATTCCAAGCATCTTGTGGATGTGAGTTGGTAGAATCCTGCAGTTCCTTTGGGATATACTTTTTCTCTTCCTGGTTTTGTAAGTCACTCTTTAGGCCATATAGGAATTTCTTTTCCTTAAAAAAAAGTGTTTTACCTGGAAATAATTTCAAACTTACAGAAAAGTTACAAGAATAAAAATAGTAAAAAATTATCCATATACTTGTTAGGGGTTGAATTGTGTCCCCCTGCCACCCCCCAAAACAGATATTCTGAAGTCTTAGTCCTGATACCACAGAATGTAACCTGATTTGGAAATAGGGTCTTTACAGGGGTAATTAAACTTAAGGTCATTAGCTTAGGCCTTAATCCAATATGACTGGTGTCCTTATGCAAAGGGGAAATGTGGACACAGAGACGCACACACACAGGGACAATGCCATGTGAACGTGAAGGCAGAGATGAGGGTGATGTGTCTACAAGCCAAGGAACACGAAAGGTTTGCAGCAAACCACCAGCAGCCAGGAGAAAGGCCTGGAACACTTCCCTGTCACAGCCTCAGAAGGAACCAACCCTGCTGACACCTTGATCTTGGACTTCCAGCCTCCAGAACCGTGAGACAGTAAATTTCTAAGGTTTAAGCCACCCAGTTTGTAGTACTTTGTTTGACCACCTTAGCAAGCTAATGCATACTCTTTACTCAGGTTTAATTATTGTTAACATTTTATTTCATTTGCTCTATCATTTGCATGAGAGAGAGGATTCTCTCTCTCAATAAATACATGCATAATATATATTTTACTGAACAATTTGAGAGTAAATTGTATTTGTCATGGCCCTTTATTCCTAAATATTTCAGCGTGTGTTTTCTAAGAATAAGGATATTCTCTTACATAGCCAAGGACAGTGATCAACTTCAGTACCTTTCTTTTTTTTTTTTTGGCCGTACGCGGGCTTCTCACTGTTGTGGCCTCTCCCGTTGCAGAGCACAGGCTCCGGACGCTCAGGCTCAGCCGCCATGGCTCACGGGCCCAGCCGCCCCGCGGCATGTGGGAACATCCCGGACCGGGGCACGAACCCGTGTGCCCTGAATCGGCAGGTGGACTCTCAACCACTGCGCCACCAGGGAAGCCCAACTTCAATACCTTTAACCTTAATAAAATAGTTTCATCCACTCTACCA